TTGCAAACCTTCAGATTTTTAATTTCGCTATTTTTGACGGTCATATCGGCTTCTAATTGAACAATCTGCTGGTCCGCTTCACGGCGCTCCAGGATAAGCTTTTCGACTTCACGTTGTAAAGCATCCAGCTCCTCACTGCCGGAAGAGACAACACCCTGCAAAAAAAATCCGGTAAATTTATCTAAATTATTATTCGATGGAACTAAATTTAAGATCAAAAAAATTTGATAAAATAAAGATAATTTGTAACAATACCAAAATTACTCGAAAATTAGCGTGGGATTCCGTATCAGTAACATTGCTGGGGTGCTTTTACTCGCCGTGCGAAATCCTTTGACCTTGAGCTGCATATCCACTACCTCTCTGTGTGTATGCTTCTGCTCTTCAAAGGCCGCTTGAGTGGAAGCTTATTTTGTTGCCGCCTATCCGTTGTTAGCAAGGCAGGCAACACGTTCTGTTGGTCATAGTTTATTTCCTAGCAGCGATATCCTTAACGCCGCTCATGTGGCGCAAAGTTTGGCCGCTCACACGTCTCCAGAAGACATACTAAGCCTCAGTGGCCCACTGTTCTTTCCGTCACAGCCAGCGCTCGTTCTTCGGCTTTCGTCAGTGACTTTCATGTTTCGCATTCGTACGTCACCGCCTTTATTAAAGTCGTATTGAAGAGAAGGGCACGGTGTTTGGGGATGCCCGAAATGCTGTGAATTTTAAGGTAACCAACAGCCCTTCGTGCAGTTTCGAGCTCGCTAATTTATACGTTATAAAAACTTGCCGTTGCTGTGTATGCGCTTGCCAAACTGGTTGTCGGCTCTTTCACAGATCGGAACGAAGGTGGTATCAAATTCGGTGGCAAAATGCTCGGTATTGGCCTTCCATGTTTGTGATTTTCAATCAGATACATACTGGAAAAGTTAACGCAATTATTTTTAAAAAAAAATGCATAAATGACAATTAAATCATGCTACACTAATTAATTTTTGCTAAAAAATGGCAAATATCTAAGGATTTTTGTCATCTAACAGCAATTTCTTTTTTATCAAAAAAAAATGTCATATTTTTCATGCTTTGGTCGCATCATTTACCCGGAGAAACGGGGACTAAAGAA